AAAAAAAAAAAAAAAATGCTTACCTTGATCAAATGTTTCAAGAACAGTTTGAGTACTAAAAATAGCTGCAGAAAATAATACTATTACTTGAGCAACAGTTCCCAAAAAAAGTAACATCTGAAAATGTCATTTAATTTACTTCTGTCTAATAGTCAATCAAAAATTGGATTTTAAAATCTTTGAGCAAAATCACTGAGATACCTTGAAAAAAAAGAAACAACTGATTAGTAAGAAAAATTTATTCAAAAGTTACATGTATGATAACTGCTGGCCACATCCAAAAGGTACTGTGTTGTTTTAACGCCCATGTTGTCGTCAAAAAATAGAACAACGGTAACCAAAGAAGCAGTAAACTTAACGGAAAACCAATACCCAAAAACAGTATGGAGAAGCCGATGTTAAGCAGAAATAAAATCTTGGTTAAATTCTGAAAATGATCACTATGCTTCATTCAATTCATCTAGTAATGTCATTAGTAATTTCTATTTGCTACCGGTTTAGCGTTGTTGATCTATCTTCAGAAAAGCTCTCAACGATAAGTCAAAAATGCTTTGACAATTACTGATGTTTACGTGTGAAAACTTTATGCTTGATTTTATTTCTTGGTTTAGAAGAAAGCAGATAAAGTGTTCAAAAAAAAGAGATTCTAAAACAAAAGATTTGACGAAAGAAGCGTGCTGACCATCATCAGTGTAAACATTTTTTTTAAATCTTATCACAACGACGTGTTGGTATTTAGGATAAATAAATAAGAGAAACAAATAAAAAAGAAGAAAGGAAAAACAAATTACTGACAAATACGTGAATTCTATTTCGTATACAACGGAAATCTGGATTCTCCTCCTCATACTCAACGACCATTTTTGTCAAATTTGTTATATACTTCTCCAACGGATATCCTCCAATGATTACTCTCATTGTGCTACAAAGAAAAAAAAAAAAAGGTGATAATCAGATGAAAAAATTTGGAAAGAAAAAATGTAAAGAAGAAAAGGAAAATATTTTGGATAGAAAAATTGTGCAAAGCCGACGATATGTTTGTTGACAAAACCGATCTTTAACACGTGGATTTCTCCTCAAAACCGGCTTTTTTGTTTTTTTTTTTTTGTATATATCTAAATTAGCAGCAATTAGTTCAAAAACAAATTAATACAAAATAATTCAAAAAATATTGTTGTAAAAGCAAAGAAATTAAAACAATAAAGGAAAAATAAAGTTATGAATTGAACAAAAAAGAAAAAGCGTCAGTCAGTGAGCAGTAAAGTTATTACAAACGAAACTTTTCTTTTTTTTTTTTTGACTCGACAAAATATTTTAGCAGTTTTGTTTGATCAAAAAGTATTAGCCGTTTCGAAAACATATTATATTTTCATTTTTTTTTTTGTCTGATTCGACTTTTCTTTTTGGCTTATTTGAAGACAATTGTCGGTAGTCCAAAAATAACTGCACTTTTTTTTAGCATCAAAAACCAAAAAATTGAGTCATTCTTAGGTTACCAGTTGCTCATAATTTCGCTCTGAGCAGCTCAAATATACAATAGATAAAAATATTTAAGCACTTATTGCAACAACGATATTTACACTACCATTTGTTCTATCTCTAAATTTATTAAGAAAAAAAAAAAAACTTATTATAAAAGAACACACAGCATCTCAAAATGTGACTTAGAGAAGTTGTGGCTAAAATGACAAACTTCGTCAATTAGCACCAGCAGACACAATCAACATTAGAAATTTTTTTTTTTTTTTTTTGGTTTTATTCCACGAAACAATTTCAACAAGTTTCAGGTGATAGAGCAAAAAAAAAAAATTGATTGTACAGAAACTGTAAATTTTAGTCTTACCGCTGTTGTAGAAATTAAGCCAAAATTTGTAAAACTACAAAAACTAGTGCTGAAAAATGACGATGAGCACTTTTGATCAATAGCAACAAATTTGTGTATGCATGATTCAGAAAACAAGTTTTTTTTTTTTTTTTTGCCAACTCTGTTGGCACACAGAAACTGAAGAAGGTAAAACAGTGGAAATCGATAAACAGAAAACTGTTTTGATAATATATTTGTGAATTCCAGAACAATAGTTCTAAAAATTGCTGAAACAAAAAAGCAGTTGACAATCAGTTTTTACAAGCATTTTTAACTGTCTTATCAGACTACCACAGTTCTGATTTTTTTTGTTTGCTTATTCAACATCCAACAAATCAATTGAATTTTCACGCCTTATACCTAATATAAAGAAAAAAAATTTTACACTAACAACTTCTCAAAATTGCTCTTTCCTTGAATAACAATAAACAATAGCTGTTATAAAATTTATCATCAATATAATTCATTTAAAGTGCATTAGAAAAGTGCGCAAAAAAAAGGCTATGCTTAAGCATATTTACTGGCCGCTGTTAACTGTTGCAATTTATAGCTACCAACACTTCAAAATTAATCATTTGCCGGATGATTACAGTGACTATGAATCCAGAGAGTAAAGTAAAGTAAATGGATTGGTAGATTTATTAGCAGTACAGATGACGGAAAACCCTAAAAAAAATATACAAATTCTTTTGAATGCTATTCCTACGAAATAGCTGATGGCCCACGTGTACCATACATCTCAGTGACTGACTGACTGTTCACAGTTGCCGGCCAAAAAACCAGTTGTTGTTCGGTGGTTGCAATCATTCTGTTGGTATTCTGTCGGTCGATGTTTGTTGGTTGGTATATTCGATGATGGTATATGCTGTGTTATATGCAACACACAATAAACAACAGCAATTCTTTCACTTCTTTTTTTTTTTCCTTCTTGCATATTTATAAATCGGAGAAGGCATCAAAGCAGTAGCAGACTTCCGTCTTCTTTATAACACTATCCAGTTTTTTACTTTTTAATTTTTTCATTGTATTTTTTTTTCTTTTTTTGCAGATTATAAACACTAAACAGCAGTTGATAGATGGATATATCGTTACAGCAGTAAAATCAATTGACAGCAAATATTTACAACAAAGTTAGCAATTTTAACAATTCATTCATTATTAATTGATACAACTATGATCTTTACCAATCCACTGAAAAAAACACGCAAAAAATTTATCAAAAAATTACAAATTTCTTACACCTAATAACACAGTGGTACAATTACAGAAACAAATACCTCATTTTCATCATTATTTTATAAAATTTATCTTTTATTTTCAATAAAATAACTGAAAAAAACAATTTTCATTTCAGATATTTGAAATACCGGCATTAACATGGACAATCGTAAAGTTATTTACAAGCTTATTTATAAATTAAAAATAAATTAGGAAAAAGAAGACGACTAGAAGTTTTCATGAGCTCGTTTCTTCAACGGAATCTTCTCCGTTGAAAAAATTGTAATTTTTGATATTTTCACGATTTCTATAGTTTTCTACACGTATCTGCAACCGATCTAAAACTGTAACGCAAGCTGTATCTCCATAAAAAGCATTTCGTAATACATAGGGATTTATGCAGCCATCTGTCGTTTTTCTAGATGAATTTGGTTCATCATCTTTTTTAAAATCGCCAACCCTATAAAATCACCAAAGGATGAGCTTTTCAGAATCTATCTTCATTGTTCTTTATCGCTTCCTAATTACTTATTTAGAGTTAAAGCATTTACCGTGATGGCCTTACACAAACGTAATCGTATGGATCAATTCCTCTCCAAACTTTTCCAGAAACACATTCATTCATCCCAAATGTTTTACGATCTTTGAAAAATCTAAAACTTGTAATTTTGGATATTTATGCTGTTGGTATCTCTAAGGAATAACTTAACTGTTGTTCAGTTATAGCAAATATAAGCCAGTTTTGCAAAAAACTAAAACTTTTAATGATTCAATGAATTTTCAACCTGTGTCGAGCTTCTTGGATTTCAAAAAGCTGTTTTTTGTTATAATTTGCTGATTTCGGCACACAAATATGGTCGATGTTGGAAGCTGGAACTTCGTTAGTGAGTTTTACATCTACTTCTTCAACATTACATGCGTCCTGAAAATTTTTAATTTTACTATTAATTTTAAGATAAGAGAAAGATTTCACAGAGTAAACATCCAAAATGCATACCGGATCAAATGTTGACATAATCCTAACATCAGCATACTGCAGAGCCGAATTGATTCTTTCTACACGTAGCCTGATGTATCGCTGTTTTGACAAACTGTCCAGTCCTAAGAAATTGATCCATTCCTCTCCTTCAGTGCGCTCGTACTTGCTTTCCGAGTGTGTAACGACAGCCGAGTAATAACTTGACCCTACTCGTTTAATTTTATGGATAACCACAGCATTCTGAAGTCAACGATTGGTGAAGCAGATTTTGATAAAATTGAAAAAAACAGCATGTTCACTCAGATAAAATGCTATTTAACTATTTAATTACTCATCAGTTATATTTAAGTTAAAACGGAGGTGGAAAACAAAGAAACATCCGCTATTTCCAAAGTTTGCTTGTCCGCTTTTTGCATATTCTGAAACTTTTTGTCTTTTTAACTAGCAAAACTGAAGTTCTTTAGAAGAGCGGAAAAGTTGCTAAAGGTAGGGAGGAAGTGAAGCAAAACGAAATGCAAAAAAAGAAAAACTCGGCGGTTTACGCTCCGAGTCATCGCATTATAATTTTATCTACTGAAGAACCATTAAAATGACAAGAAATCATAGAAGTGAGCGATCGGCAATTTTCTAATAACTTCCTGCAAAAGTTCGCTGTCTTCTCTCGATTCTCATCACCATTTAACAGAGAAACGAAATGAATCAGCAGTTACTGTCACAAATGCAGTAGGATGTCCTGCGGGAAAGAAAAATTCACGCAGTCAAAATTGCTCTATTCGCAAAATAGAAGTATTATGCGAAAAGTGCAAAGTTCTTCGTGTTTTTGACTATAAAAACTAAATCAAGCCATTTCTCCGGCAAATGTTGATAAATATTCATTAGTGATGTCCCATTGTACTCTGAATTAGATTATAAGTCAGAATGGGATGAGTTACTGTTCACTACATGTTCAAAACTTTTGAAAAAAGAAAAACCCGTTGAATTCCAGCATCCTGATGATATTGAGTCCTGAACTCAACCGTAAAAACATTGTTGGGATTGTCTCTGTCATATGGAATTAAAACCAAAAGCCACCCCTTCGTACTTTGATGTGGCACACTAATTGATGAAAGGCGTAATGTATAGTTATGTTTGTCATTTCTAAAAAAACATAAGTCAGTTTGTAGCTCAAAATTATTTGCGAAAAACAACTTTTACACCTTATTCACGGCGAACGTACTTTCCAAAGAACAGTATGCGATGCATTGGTAGCCATCCCAGGTAGTCCAGATGCGGTCCGTTAAGTCCGGGACCCCCAAAACCAAATGGTGACTTGTGCATCATCGCATTGGCTGTACTCATTAGATCATAAATGTCATCATATTCACCGACTGCGGCATGTGGAAATACCTTAAATATTATAAGAGTTTCTAAATTAAACAAAATTAAATGTGAGATCTGTGCAAGAAGAAAGAAACTAAAACTGAAAGAAACCTTTACGTTTCGATCACTGTATGAGTGGCCAATGAAGAAGCTGTGTACCATTTCATGCGTTATTACAGAACTAAATAACAACTCTGGAGTGACCAGAATTCCATATTTTTTACCATAAACAGCACTGTGTTCGGCATTTATCATTGTAATCTTTCGTTCATGCAAGTAGTCGCCAGCTTCTTCGGCAGCTCTGATACATAACTGTTTTATTTTGTCGTAAAGCTGAAGAAAAAAACAGCAGTCAGTTATCGTCGTGTTCTGTAACTCCAAACTCAGAAAAGACTAAAATGACGCCTCTATCAAGTAAATGGAAATCACACGAACACATTTCTTCTGTTACTGATTTCGTAGTTGACGAAGTATAAACTGTGTATTAATGCTGAGGAGATGTTCACCTGTTCAGTATGGCTATAGAAAAGGCTTTCTTTACAGCTCAAAAAAAAGTAAATAACAGCTGAAAGTGGTCAATAATAAACTGTTTCGCTTACAGTCTATTATCTCTACCGAGGCTTACTTTCCTCTCGTTTATACACACTATTCTTTTCTCAGTTTAAAGTTTTCAAAAGTGAAAATAAAAGCATTGTAAATTATTCGAAAAATAGCACAAAAAATTTCCACAAAAAAATAATGCTTTTGAACGACTTTAAAAAAAACGTGACATCAAAAAAGCAGTCTGAAATCTCATTACAAATACAAAATTTTTCTCGCTCTGACAAAAAACGCTGTATATTATTAAATATTCTACTCGTAATAGAATCACATATGCAACTACTGTTCTTATCGCTAACTGCGATATTAGCTGTTTAAATCTTAGATTGATATATTTAGTATATTTCAACAGGTTTAAGTGCTTGAACTGTTTGTTACCAGAAGGTGTCAACGGTTAAGTATATTTCAACAGGTTTAAGTGCTTGAACTGTTTGTTACCAGAAGGTGTCAACGGTTAAGTACTGAAAAAAAGAATCACAGCGGTAATAAACTTACAGCAAAATAACGTTCCGCTTGATTAGCTTGAAGATCTGCATCGGTTTCAGCAAGTTTACGAGTTTCTTCAAGACTGTACTGTAAAGTATGCCAGCCATGTACTTGAGAACCCTTTATCGAGTACACTTTATTAGACACGTCGTCAAAGTATTGTTCAATTGAATCTGAATTGTTTACTCGATTTTCAGGTTTTTCACAAGAGTGCACCACTGAATGAAATAGGAAAACAACTGTTTTGTTAGGTGTGACAGTCGTTTAAGTTTACATATTTTCTATCTGCATAAATTGTTTCGCTAATTTTTACACAGGCTATCTCATAGAAAGCCCAAACCTTTCGAGTATGCAGTCACAGATGTCTTCCAAATTTAGGTGCTTTATAGGTAGAGAGAATAAACTCTTGAAGTTGTAGAATTCAATTCAAACACTAAGTTTTCCAGCATATCACATCTTTTCAAGGCATAAAAATTTCGAAATTATTGCAGTTTTGACAGTTGCAAGCGTAAAATCAGGTGATTCAAATTTTGCTTAGGTTGGTCGTTTGGTTTTACGGCATTATGCATCTAGTACAAACTTTAGTAAAAACAAGCATTTATGAACTAGTTTAAAGTGAACTATCAAAAAAATCTATTGGTAATACTTTTTAAAAAGATAAATTTTTTTTGTAAAATTTCTTGTTTTCTAAAACATAAAATTTCTAGGTTGGTGCTCTTTGTAATCAGTGATTACAGTTCCTAAAGTAGGGTCAAATTTAAAGAAATTAGTTGCGCGATTAGCGCATAGTAGCCAAATTCCGTAAAACAACTGACTCTCTAAGTTGGAACTTAAGTATTATACAATGCAAATAAATTATGAGATAGAAGATTATTTTAAACAAAGAGTCTGAGCCGAAATATGAACTGTTATCCTGTGTGGTCAATTTTCCAAGATGATAAAACTTCTGCAGAAGACAGAAGACTGCCTTCTCAGGTAAACTTTGCAGTTTTACGGCTTAATTATTTAGATCTGCTAATCACTCAGGTTTGAGTAAATTCCGAGATATCACCTTTCAAGTATGTGGTCTGGCATAGAAGAATTATAATATATTTTTTTACACCTTATTTTTTGTCACTTTTCAAAAGAATTCTTGTTTCTTGTTTTGCTGTTCAAGAAGTTTTATACATAAAGGAGTAAAACCGTTGCGGAACAGAAAGTGTAAAGTGGAAATTTGATTTATGGTCATATTAACTTGAAAAGCACTTTCTTCGTAAACTGTATACTCAGAAAGTCTCTTTAAACCTCATCCTCTTAACTTTCTAAAATAGCTTTATTATTGAAAGTAAGGCTGTTGACAAAAAAAGTAAAAAATTAGATCTTTTCACAAAAAAAATTTCTTTACAAAGTAAAGCAGAGGCATCCAAATTCAGATTTAAGCTGAAAGATCCTAAGCCTTCTTTCGAAGAAAACGTGGAGCTAAAGAGATGGGTTGACCAGCCTTTTAAAAAACAGCGAACAACCTAAGATAAATTCAACTTGTTAAAGACCGAAAAGACAAAGAATAATTTGTGTCAACAACGGTACATTCTCCTCAAAAAATAAATACTTGAAAATTTGTTTGTAAACATTTGATAAATATAACTTTTTTGCAGTGCACCTCAAGTATCTTATTTCTTATGCGGATAATTACTAGCTATAGTTTAAGTTGCAGAAGTAATGAAGAAGGTTTAATTTTCTTGCATTTAAAACATCGAATAATAAAAATCTCTAAACTTCCTTTTCCGTCGACACAATCACCAGTCATAGCACTCATGCATTCAATCAAATTATAACTGTTACACTTAATTCTTGAAAGTTTGAAGTCTTAATGAAAATATGAAACTCTGCTATATGTTGTCTAATACGCTTTTTTGAAGTAGCCGCAAAAGATTATCATTATTGAACTGTAGGAAAAGAAGCTCAAAAATGTTCTAAAAAATATTTTTGATCAATTTCGGAATGGTCGCTGTAAGACTGAGAAGAGAGAAAAACAGTAAAATTAGCAAATACCTTTTTCTTTGTACTTATCCACATAGAATGCTTTTTTATACAGCTTAGTAAAGATATAATGTAATAATTTTGTGTTCAGTTTAAACTCTGCTAACCAGTTATAATCTTTTAATAAATCAAACCGAAATACTGAATTTTTTTCTGATAGAAAAATAGAAAAAATCTTAGGTGAACTTGGCGTTTTAAAACTAATATTTGTTGCTTATTTGTCAAAGAAAAAAGAAAGATTAGCACTCAGAAGTTTTTGATAAAGAATAGTGTACGAGCAAAAACTGTCAAGATAATTTTGCAACAATCAGTGATACAGCAAAGATATTTGGATATTTGTTGCCCTCTTACTTTTTCTTGCCTACAAAACTTTATATAAACAAATATATTGAATGCAAAGGTATAAATGACAATTATTTAAACTAAAATCTTTTTTGTAAGTAAACTAAAAATTTTTGTCAATTAACTAAACAAAATAAAGTAAAATAAAACAAAAAAGTACCGGTTTGATTAATACCGTTGATCCACCGCTGAACCCACTGTTTGGATTTGGGTTCGAAGTCATTATCAGCAAATTTACACAGTATTATTGACCACGGTTCATTACCACGTTTTGGTATGCAACTTCCGAAGTGGAATAGAATTTGCAAAACAATTAGAAGTAACATCACATGACCTTTTATCACCTTTACATCAACAATAGTCGTCATTCAATAGGTATCTTCAGAACCAGCTCCTGCTAGCCACAACTTTTTTGCTGCAAACTCATCAAGATAATATCTACCATATTAAAAATAAATCCTTCTGTTTATCTGTACTTCACACGAACATTTTGAAATATAGCCAAAAGAAGATTATTTTTATATGTGCTTTAAAAATTGCTTTTCTGCAATTCTGTTTAAAAAAGAAAATAACACAATAAATTTGGTACAAATTCCTTTTTAATCACTTGAATTGAGAATTAAAAAAAAAAATACTTGTTGCGAAGACTCCTAAGCAGAGTTGAATAGCAGTAATGATAGCTGTAACCTTCACACGATCAAATAATCAGTATTAATATCAGATGAAACTTTAAGCAGTTAAAAATGATTGAAAGAGAATGTTTAGATTTTGGTTTAAACCTGTAGAAAATCAATCAGTATCTTCTCGTGGTAGACAGAGCGCAAAAGCCTTTAAGTATTACGGTGAAAGATCACTTCTGAATACAGTCTGCTATGCACAAGCTCTGTAAAACTAATAGCACGTAGATATCAAATGAGTATTTCTGAATCAAGAACAGATTTACATCAACACGTACTTGGTTTCCAAAAATAGAAAATTGAGGCAAATAATAAAATTAAAAGAAAGAAAAAAAAAAGTTTTTTTTAACACAATAAAGTAGAAATCAGAACTACTGCATTTTATACAGTCAGACAAATTATACACTTCCGTATTATAAAAGTTGGGAAGAACTGAACTGCAACAAAATTAAGAAGTTTTATAATGTTAGCGTGAAACAGAAGTTTCATGTAGTTTCATCATTCAATTATTTTCTTTATTCAAAGACCAAAAAACTAGAGCCAAAAAAAATTGTACCAAAGATAGCTTCTTTCAGAGCTAAAAAAGTAAAGTTTGAAAAAACTGTCTATCTGCAAAGAGATTTGAGCGTAAAGCAGCTTTTCACATAAAGATTTCTTTGAAAGGTGTCAACGAACTAAATGGGTTTTCCCCCAATTTCATTATTCACCGCTTAGAAAGACAACACAACAACCTTGACGCAAAAATAATTATCAAATTAATCAAACTATTTTCTGACCTATTAGTTCGACAACATAAATTAGTGTTTAGCAAAAAAAAAATAAAGAGATTTTAATTTTAACGCGTCAGAAGCAGAGCAAAAAACTGGCTTTTGTGATCAGTAAACAACATATTATTATCAACATTCTTCAATTCCGTATCCTGAACAAGAAGCGTCCAAACAGTTTGTCACCCGAAACAATCCATTTCTTAATACTTTC